GTGGTGGACGACAAGAAGTTTGTCAGCAACGTAACTAGGTAGGAACCCCGCTCACCCTGCTGTGTCAGTGTTTGTGGGTATTCCCCGCAAAGTTTGGCATCGGCACTCTGCCACTTCCAGTCTCCAGTTCTGGCCGAGTAAGCGCCACATGCAGAACAGTGGCTAGATGCCTGGCTCTAGTCATTAGCAGAACCCCAGTGTAGCCTGTCTCCTTCCCAGACAGTCCAAGAAGAATGCTGTTTGTGTGACCTCAGGCAGTCCTTTGACCTCTGAGCTGGGTTGTCCTCGCTAGAGAGGGCAGTGCCAGCAGTCAGGAGATGGCAACTGTGATTCGATGGACAGCGGCAGTATGTGTCCCCAGAAGTGCCATGCTCTATTGCAGGCTGAGCTCATGTCCCTTCCGAACCATCACCGTGCGGGACACAATGTCTGACCTTCCTGAGATCCGGAATGGGGCTTCAGCGCTGGAGATCTCGTACAACGGGGAGCCCCAGTCCTGGTTCCAGAGGCAGCTCCGGGGCTCGCAGTACCAGCCTATCCTCAGGGACCACATCTGTAAGGTAACGTTGCCCCACAGAGGGCCCTCCTTCCAGCTGCCTCACAGGGACAGACCTGTGGGGAGCCCAGCCCCTCCAGCTTCTCTGCTCCTGGCTCCTAACCCAAATCACTGTCATTTTTAGAGCGGAAGGGAGAGAGAGAGAGAGAGAGAGAAACATCAATGATGAGAGTTATTGATTACCTGCCTCCTGCACGCCCCACACTGGGGACTGAGCCCACAACCTAGGCATGTTCCCTGACCTGGAATCAAACCATATTCATAGGTCAGTGCTCAACCATAGAGCCACACAGGCCAAGCTCAAATCACCACATGCTTGCCCCCAGCCTTACTTCCTCGTGCTTTTCTTCTTGCCCCCACCCCCCGCCAGAGGGCAGTGCGAAACATGGCAGGTGACCAGCGGTGTGGGGGTCACTGAGGGAGTTAGAGAAGGAGGGAGCTGATGGTCTTAATTGCCGGCCAGGCCTAGGGACCCTACCTGCGCACAAATTTCATGCACCGGGCCTCTAGTGTAATCATAGAAAGCATCAATCAGAGCTCTTGCTCTTCCTGGAATAGGCCCAGAATGTCACTGCCCTCCTCTGACTGACCTCTCTCACCATTCCTGTTCTCTGCATGTTGTCCCAGATATGCCAAACCTGACCTTTTGTGCCCCCAGCTGCTGGCTCCTCCTAATACTGCAGGCTCAGCTCAGGCACCCTCCCCCCACTTGCCCTTGCTATCCCTCACCTGTTCCCCCCACATTATTCTGCATCCCTGCTCTGTCTCCTGGCACATGTGTAATCCCTAAGCTGTTCATTCAGGTAACTGTCTGCCCAAATGGGATGTAAACCCCTTGGGGGTTCCTGGTTGTAGTGGTGGTCCCAGTGCCTAGAGCAGTGGTGCCCAGGCCACTGCAGATGCTCCCTGAGCTGGGTGACAGCTGGGCATTGCCACACTTCTAGGACATGAGCGCATTGGTCGCCGCCCGCATGCGGAATGTCCCTCTGGCTCCGGGCTCAGACTGGCGTGACCTGCCTAACATCGAGGTGCGGCTCTCAGACGGCACCATGACCAGGAAGCTGCGGTACACCTACCACGACCGGAAGAACGGCTGCAGCAGCACGGGGGCCCTCCGCGGGGTCTGCTCCTGTGCGAGCGGTGAGACCCCCGTGTGCCCGGATGTGGCTTTCCTCTGTGTACCCTGAAGCCCAGCCCCTCAGGTCCTGGTTCCCACAGCAGCCAGCCCGGGTGAAGGAGCACGGTCAGCGGGCGTCTCCCAGAGGAGATCCTGATGCTGCTGCTCACTAACCCAGTGGCCCTGGGTGGGGCCAGCCTGGGGTCCGCATTGTGAAAGCTGTGCCCAGGGAACGGACTGTAGCTGCTCTGGCCCCGGGTGGACTGAATGCTGTAGGCACTTCCTGGGCCTCTTGTTCTGGAACCTCAGCCTCATTGCAGCCGTCTCTTCCAACAGGCAAAGCCTGCGACTCCACGGCCAGACAGTTCAACACCCTCATCCCCTGGTGCCTGCCCCACACCGGGAACAGGCACAACCATTGGGCCGGCCTCTACGGGCGGCTCGAGTGGGATGGCTTCTTCAGCACCACTGTCACCAACCCCGAGCCCATGGGCAAGCAGGTAGGAGGGAGGCCCCGGGTCAGGCCTGGAAAGGGGACAGGCACGGGCTGAGGTGGGAGAGGCCTGCCAGGAGTCAGCACTCCTCACCTCCTGCCTTGGTGCTGAGGCCGAAAGCTGGACCTCTCCGTGGCGCGGTTCCCCAGCCTGCCCACAATGGCCGGTCTTGTGCCCCGGCCCCACCGTGCCTCTCGCCCCCAGGGCCGTGTGCTTCACCCTGAGCAGCACCGTGTGGTGAGCGTGCGGGAGTGTGCTCGCTCCCAGGGCTTCCCGGACACCTACAGGCTGTTTGGCAATATCCTGGACAAGCACCGGCAGGTCAGTGGCGTGACCTTGAGCAGGGCAGACAGGAAGGAGGCGCTCTTGTCCGCCCGCCCGCCCCCCTCAACCCCCCTGCACAGGGTAGAGAGCGATTCAGCAGAGGGCACAGCTCACACGGGGGTGCTGTTTGGCCTCAGTCCCAGCAGGGCCACAACCAGTACAGAGGGTCCCTGTCTCTGGGCCCAGTGCTCACGGGCTAAGCATGTTGGTTGCTGCTCTGAGGCAGATTTACCCCAAAAGGAAAGTTTCACTACAGTGAACTTCAGATACGGCGCAGACTAAATGTCTGGTGGTGAAGTCACTTGCTAAGGGTTAAGGTGGACCAACAGTTCCTCACTGATTCTGAGGGTGTTGTTAGGTTGGCTTTTTTTTTTTTAAATCCTTACCCTAGGATATATTTTTCCCATCCATTGATTTTTAGAGAATGGAAGGGAGAGGGGAGGCACCCACACCAATGTGAGAGAGACACATCACATTGATTGGTTGCCTCCGGCACGTACCCTGACGGGCCAGGGAATCAAACCTGCAACCCAGGTACGTTCCGTTCCCCTGACTGAGAATTGAACCCGTGACCCTTCGGTGCACGGTCCAATGCTCTAACCACTAAGCAACACTGGCCAGGTCAGCTTGGCTTCTTAATTGAATGTATTTCCGTCCAAGTAATGCACACACATGGCTTAAAGAGCTAAGAGTGCCTGGGGGTATGGTGGGAAACCCGATTCACCCATTAACCACCAGTCCTGTTCTCTGAAAGCAGCTACTCAGCTAAAGTGAAGCAAGTGGCTTCCACATCTGGATCTTTGCCCTTTAATGGCCCCCGTCTCGGTGGGTGGTTCTAGACAGGTTGGTGTTGGGGGTGGGAGGATGAGCTGATTGGCAGGGCCGAGGGGTTATTGTGGTGGAAGGGCTTTGGGGACCCTGTGAGCATGAGGCCAGGGGCCCAGTGTCCTCATCACAGTGCTGAGTGGAGGCTGGCGCTGGCCCTAGCTGTGCCAAACTCAGCATTGCCCTCCTTCCCTCCTGCAGGTGGGTAACGCCGTGCCGCCACCCCTGGCCAAAGCCATTGGCTTGGAGATCAAGCGCTGTATGTTGGCCAAGGCTCAAGAGAGTGCCTCAGGTATGGTGAGGTGGGTGGGCTGAGGCAGGCAGGGTATAACTCTAGGCCAGTGATGGCGAACCTTTTGAGCTCCGTGTGTCAGCATTTTGAAAAACCCTAACTTAACCCTGGTGCCGTGTCACATAATAGAAATTTTTTTATATTCGCAACCATAGTAAAACAAAGATGAATATTTTTGATATTTACTTTATATATTTAAATGCCATTTAACAAAGAAAAATCAACCAAAACAATGAGTTCGCGTGTCACCTCTGACACGTGTGTCATAGGTTTGCCATCACTGCCAGGCTCTGGAGCTCGGGCGAGTCGCACACTCTCCCTAGTGGCCTCATTTCTCTCTGGGCTGCCATGAGATGGAATGAGTCACACATGTTAAGTGCTCAGAACAGACCCGGCACATAGTGAGCGGGGGGGTCTCGGGGCCCTTTCCCCGGTCCTGCCGGGTGGGCCTCCTCAGCCTCTGATGCAGGCAGTCTGGACACCCCTAGGGAGCACCTTTGAGCGCGCTCAGACTGTTCATGCAGACCTGCTGCGGGTTCTTTCACAGTCGGCCCCTAACACCGACGCCTGCGCATTAAGGTAGCTCCTGACTTAATGTGTCTGTGATGCTCGCCTGTTGTAGTACGATGTATAGATTCCCTGTGGTGACTTCCCTTTTCTTTCTCTTTAGTTAAAATCGAGGAGAAAACTATCGAGGAGGAGGAAACTGCCGAGGAGAAGAAGACTGCCGAGGATTAGTTTCCCCCTCCCGCGCCTGTGTTTCTGGCAACAGGGATCCCCAATGTGCACTGATGTTGTGTTTTTAACATGTTGAAATCTGTCAGTTCAAATGTGTTGTACACGGTGTTTGTGGCCTTGGCTGACATGAAGCTGTTCTGTAAGGTTTGCGTACCAACTAATGACTTAGTGATCGAATTGTGCAGTACTTTGTGCATTCTGAATTTTAAAAGTTTTTTATTATGCATTATATCAAATTTACCACTGTATGAGTGGAAATTAAGACTTTATGTAGTTTTTATATGTTGTAATATTTCTTCAAATAAATCGCTCCTATAAATCATCTCGGGTGGTGACTCATGTACAAGGAGCTTCTGGCTGTCTCTCAGCTGAGGCTGAACGAGAAGGGGTTCCTTAGTGCTGAAGGGGGCCCCACAGAGGCGTTTGTATGACGTTAGATCACTTCATGTGTCCCGTGCGTGTGTGTGAGGGGTGGGGGTTAACTTGTGGGACTTAGTTTTGGCCAGTGAGCTGCAGTGGAACTTGCTGGTGTAGCTCCCAGGGAGGCCTTTTAAAGGAATAGTCTTGGTTGGCCTAACCCATGGCCTTGCAGGCCTTTGGAGTGGCTGTGACCCCTGGCAGCCGCTGGCAGTGCAGCTGCCTTCTTGTGACCATGGGAACAGAAGCCCCTGAAATGGGTGGTGGAGCAAGGGGAGAGGAGCCCTGGCTGCCACCCCCAGTGGTTAGAGTGTTGGCCCACACACGGAAGGATCATGGGTTTGATTCCCAGTCAAGGGCACGTACCTGGGTTGCAGGTTTGATCCCCTGCCCCAGTTGGGGTATGTGTGTGGGAGTCAACCAACCAATGCGTGTCTCTCTTGCCTCAATGTTTCCCCCCCTCCCTCCCAATCGCTATAAAAAAACAATGGAAAAAATATCCTCAGGTGAGGATTAACAAAGTTAGTTGGAGCCCTGGCCTGCCACCCCAGACAAACGCCTTATTTGCTTAAGAACCTGGAGGTGGACCCTGACTTGTTTGGCTCAGTGGATAGAGCGTCGGCCTGCGGACTGAAGGGTCCCAGGTTCGATTCCAGTCAAGGGCATACACCTTGGTCACTGGCACATCCCCAGTAGGGAGTGTACAGGAGGCAGCTGATCAATGCTTCTCATCGATGTTTCTAACTATCCCTCTCCCTTCCTTTCTGTAAAAAATCAATAAAATATATTTTTTTAAAAAGAACCTGGAGGTGGGCTTTCTGGGCCTCCAGCCTAACTCAGCCCTGAATTCTAAGGTGAACAGAACTTCTCCTTGGTTTGTCTTTGGGGAAGGACTTGCTATAAGACTCCAGCAAAGCAGAAGCAGACAAAGAAGCGTCCATCACCAGCCCCGTGACCCAAGGGCCACCAGGGGGAGGGTAAGTGGCACCTGCTGCTTGACCTGCACGCGCACTTTCACACCTGCTGTCCTCGGAGGCCCTTCGCCTGTAACGCCCACTAGGTGCCCCAGATCTTTTAGACTAAAGGGCTAAATGTAATGCAAGTGCGAAACTCACTAAGTTCCTTCTAGTAAGTAGTTAGGTGTTGGCCTCTGCTGCAAACAGCACTGCACTGACATATTCTCTTCCATCATCTCCTCAGGGAACTGTCTCAAGAGGTTCTGAGATTATGGAGTATAAAAGGGTTCCTATTTCCGTTACAGAGCATGTGGCCGCCCCTCCCACAATACCAACTTCCTTCAGCCTGCCCTGCCCTTGACCCCTTAGTCCTTGTCAGGGGAGGAGAGAACCTCTCGTTAGCTTTTTTTAAGGAGTGATTCCACACTCCATGTGTCTGGTGGCCACAGGACCCGTTCCTCCTCTGAGGTGACACGGACTTTGTCTTTCTGGGAGCTGTTCTGGCATTGGATTTTTACCTCTGGTTGTGTTGCTTTCATCTCGAGTCATATCTTTGCCATATTGACTCTATTTTTAGGGATTAGATTTATATTTCTCTGCTTGTTTAGAAAGGCCTTCCCTGCCCCCGGGGGGTGGGGGGGAGGAGGGAAATTGGGGGGATAAGGGCACATATGTAATACCTTAATAAAGAAAAAAATAAAAATAAAAAGCAATGGAAAAATATCCTCGGGTCAGGATTAACAACAACAAAAGTATTTCATACAGAAAAAGACAAAAAGAGGAAGTAAAGGTGAGGCCAAAGGGAAACACCCAGAAGCACCCATGTTTAGTGGCTAATCTTATCTGGGCAGCGCAGTTTCTCTCCAGGGTTGGTACTTGTATGGAAGCAACATCTAGCTAATTTTTTATTCATGATGGTTGCATAGTCTTTGTTTTCCAGTCTTTTTAAAAATATATATTTTTATTTCTTTAATATATTTATTGACTTTTTTACAGAGAGGAGGGGAGAGGGATAGAGAGTTAGAAACATCGATGAGAGAGAAACATTGATCAGCTGCCTCCAGCACACTCCCCACTGGGGATGTGCCTGCAACCAAGGCACATGCCCCTGACCAGAATCGAACCTGGGACCCTTCAGTCTGCAGGCGGATGCTCTATCCACTGAGCCAAACCGGTTCAGGCCAACTAAGTATTTTTATTGATTTCAGAGAGGAAGAGAAAGGGAGAGAGATATAGAAACATCAATGAAGAGAGAGAATCATTGATCAGCTGCCTCTTGCTCCATGGTTGAGCATCAACCTAGGAACCAAGAGGTCACCAGTTCAATTCCAGGTCAGGGCACATGCCCAGATTACAGGTTCTTTTGATGTTTCTATCTCTCTAGCCCTCCCCTTCCTCTCTCTCCTCTAAAATTAATAAAAAAATAAAAAATACATGCACATGTTACATCTCACATATATTACATAAGTACACACTACATATTAATATCTAATGTATATAAAGTAAATTATTTCATATTTATGTATCTATTCATATTTAAATCAAAATAATACATACACATGGTAAAAACTTTAAATGTAACAGAAAAGGCTAAAAAAGAAGCTTTTCTCCCCTGATGCCTTCCTCTCAAAGCATCCCTTAGCAACAATTTGATATTTCTTTTCTGATATGCATACATCTACATATCTATGCGCTGTTAAAAATTTACACAAATTGGTTCCCATAATATATGCCATTTTACATCTTGCTTCCTCCTCACATGGTAAAAACTTTAAATGTAACAGAAAAGGCTAAAAAAGAAGCTTTTCTCCCCTGATGCCTTCCTCTCAAAGCATCCCTTAGCAACAATTTGATATTTCTTTTCTGATATGCATACATCTACATATCTATGCGCTGTTAAAAATTTACACAAATTGGTTCCCATAATATATGCCATTTTACATCTTGCTTCCTCCTCTTTCCTTGTTTTTTTTTTTTTTTTTTTTAACATGAGCACAAATGGATTTACTTCCTTAAAGACCTCGTAACATCGATTATGGCAGAGTATATTTCAATCTGTTTAAGCAGCCCCTATGAATGGAGACCTGGGCGTTCCTGGTTTTTGCTATCATGAACAATACTGCGTGGATATCGTATTCTCACATCTTTGCAAACGTTTACAAGTTTTCATCACAGGTTGAATTACTACCTGGCTCAAAGGAAAAGACATCTGTGCAGTTCAAGTTTTAGTAGATGTCAAATTTCAATCCAGAAAAGTTTGCCTAATTTCATGCACTGACAATGTGTGTGAATGCTTCTCTACATCTTTGCTACTATTGGGTAACATCACATTTTAAAAGTTTTGCCCATCGTTATGTTGTTTGGTTTTGCACTTTTTGGAGTAAGTTTGAGTAAGTGCACACATGTGCATTGGTTCCTTGTACAAACTTTATATTTTCATCCTTATTTCCAGCCCACCCTCTTTCTTTCACTAATTTCCCCAGGCTCCTTCAGGCCTCTTGCTAATTCATCCTTTCCACTCTATCCTTTTCAAGCTTCCAGAATAATCGTTCTCACAAGAACATCTGGTCACACTGGGTTACCACTCAAAATATGTCAGTGACTTCACCCACACCCACAGCCTATAGGGTAAAGAGCCTACATTCTTTAGTGTGGTTTAAAAATCCTTTATAGTATGGTTCCCACCCCGCCCCAAATGCCCATTAACTGAGCAAGTACCCTGTGGGTGCTGGGGACCCAGAGGTGGACGTTTGCTTTCTGCGGCAGACGTTCTAGAGCAGTTTTCCTCCAACTTTTTTTCATCATTGCCCTTCTAAAGGGAAAAATGGAATTATCTCGAAATTTAAATCAATTTCAATCCAATTACATTCAATTTCTCTCTAATTATGGAAGTTAAATACTTATTTGGATGGATTGGCTTTTTAAAAAGATTTGGGGGGGGAGGTTGGGGCTTAATGGGGGGGATGAGGACACATTTGTAATACCTTAATAATAATAATAAAAAATAAAAAAATAAAAATAAAAAAAAATTGGGGGGTGGGTTGGTTGGCTTTAGAAGGCCACAAGCCATTGTAATATTTGAGGGTTTTTTTGCCCCCCAAGAATTAATTTTGGCCCCCGTGGGAGCCATGTCAACAACATTGAGAATGTATGTCCTGCCCGGCCAGCATGGCTCAGTGGTTGAGCGTCAATCTATGAACCAGGAAGCCAGGGTCCAATTCCTGATTAGGGCACATGCCTGGGTTACGGGCTTGATCCCCAGTGTGGGGCATGCAGGAGGCGGCCAACCAATGATTCTCTCTCATCACTGGTGTTTCTATCTCCTGCTCCCTCTTCCTTCCTCTCTCAAATAAATAAAAATACATATATTTTTTAAAAAGAATGTATGCCCTAAAGGGAGAGATGAACAATAAGCAAACAAATGGAAAAGATGATATCAGAGAGCCAAGAATGTTGCAAAGGAAAGAAGGGAGAGTGGTTGAGGGGCCACTTGACATCTGGCTCATCTGAACCAGAGAAGTTCTCTCCAGACAAGGAAGACTAGCTTTAGTTTTTTTCAGCTGCAAAATGGAAGTGATTCATTAACCACAGTCAGTGCTAAATGAATGCACTTTATTGGTAGTATTATTTATTTTATTATTTTTATTGAGGTATAATTGACAGCTAAAAATTTAAAATAATTTTTTATTTTTAAATTGCTGTTGACACACAACATTACATTAGTCACATGTGTATAACATAGGGATTAGACGTTTATATAACTCTCGTGATCCCCCTGATAAATGTAGTACCCATCTGACCCCAGGCATAGTCATTACAATATTATTGACTACATTCCCTGTTTTTTACATCTCTGTGACTGTTTTTATAACTGGCAATTTGCACAACTGAATCCCTTGGCCCTTTTCACACATCCCCACAATCCCCTCCCATCTGGAAGGCAGCTATG